ATGCTTATGTCATATCAGGAATCACAGAAATACAGCAAAAAGTAGTTTAACATCAGGATACAGATTCTTGTAGTGTAGGATACCTATGAGACCAGCAAGAGAAAAATATTTGGGCAGATTTTCTCCCAAAACCATCACCTTATAAAGGTGATAGTCAAACCTTTATTTAAACCTTTAAACTGAGAATTTTAAAAGTTGTTCTAGCAAATAAGTGTAAATAACTTGTCAATTTCTTTCATTCATAAAAAAGTCAACACCAGCATCATGTCACAAATTAAAAATAATATATAAAAGTCACACACACACACAAAAACACCACTAGCTTTATGACATTAAAGCATGGCTTTGGCTTGGCTTTGGCTTACAGTTTACTCTCTAGAAGAATCCATTGTAAATACCATGAGAGCAATGGAGACTTCGACAGTACATCACGTGTCCACTACCAAGGAATTTTTCACAATACTCAACATTAACTTCYCTGCTTAACTTCATGCCTACTCCTACTGTCTTATCTAGTTAAAATAGGATCAACAGTTAGTGATTAATTATGGATCAATGTTTAATTACCAGTTCCAGAGTTACTGTCATAATCAGCTACACAGATAAAGTGTGTAGACATAGAAAGGATGTTATTAAAATGCTACAAGGAAAGGAGGAAAAGGGAAATGAATACACAGCTAATGGATTCACAGATGGCTGGAAACTCGCTTCTTCTGTGAAGAATATTTAAAATTTAAAAAAGAAAGAATTTTCTGGAGTCAGTCCTTCGAGAATATGCTCAAAGCCGCAGAATATAGTCTCAAAGCTACACAGAAAAATCAGACTGCTAGAAGTAATAACGAGTTGAGATACTTATTGAAGGGATGGTCAACAGCAAAAAGAAAACACCCAAACAAACAAACAAACCTAAGCAGGGCCTAAGCAATCCCAAACAGGCATATATGAGAGTCTCCAGGTCATGAAAAATAGATAGGACATCTCTAAACGCTATAAAATAAAGTAAATAAACTACTAACTTAAGCTGAACATGAACCTTCCAAAGAAAACATATAGTGGAAAAAAACATCTGCCTCTAAGAAATATTCAAACTCCAATAGACGGTAAATACTCATCTTTTTGTATTCCCAGAACAATCTCAACATGTTATCACAGTCCTCATGGTGTCCTTCWTGTCAGTCCATCAACAAGAATAAAAAAGTTTAATAAAGCCAGAAACACAAAAAACATGCCAGAAAAAAGAACAGAAAGGAAAACGGAAGAAAAAAGAAAACTGCCCAAATATCCCTAAAAAAAAAGTATGTTGTGTGTCTATCCTCATTTTTAACTAATACTCCTTCATCCTAAATACCTAAATAAGTCCAAGCAAGATAAGAAACATCTTGACGTAAACCATATGGAACTTAAGATCATGAGAGTTTACGTATCCACAGCCAGGTKTAATTACTTAGGTGTCCCAGGTAATCCTCCATCTGACATCATATTCATGAAGGTTGGATTTCCTTGCCTATATCCAAATAAACCCACACAATGCTTCAACAGGTTGTGAATGAATGCATAAAAGTACAATATTACTCATACATAAAGCTGGGAATATATATATATATATCCTAGAAATACCCTGCTCTCCAGGCACTAGGTCCACTAGTACAAAACTACCATTTAAAAGCAACAAAAATTAAAATTAGGTGATTTCTTTCTCCCATCCCCCAGACGGATCTGCTAACAATATGTCTAATGCACCTGCCAAGAAGGAGCAAGCCAAACATCTGCTCCACTCTGACATTTAGAGGAGTCTGCAGTTTGAGAGGGCTTGACAGTTATTTGGTTTGGAAGCCTCTAAAGAAGCTGTTTGTGAAAACTACTAAGCCCTTGCACTGCCCGCCCCAAAGCGTAAAACCTTAAAATTACCGCAAAATTATCAACTAGGAAAAGCCAAAGTGGAAAATAGCCTGACCCTTCAAAAAACTTTTACTATACTAACATAAAGGCAAAGGGGCAAGGGGAGAAGGGAATGGGAAAGTCTGGCACTAAAACACAGCTTTGGTGACCTGATATGAAAGTTTATTTCTATGTGCTGTGGGTAACCTTGCATAGTTCTCTATTTCAAACCTATACAGGCAATCAACAGATTTTTTAAACAGAGATTGTGCCACATCCCATCTTTTTGGTATATTTTGAGTATGCATGAAATGTGGTAGTGCTGCAGCAGGAATAAGGACAGTTTTGAAGGCGAGGATAGGGACAAACAACAGGCTAGCCATACCAGCCCATTGAATTAGAAATCTCAAGATATATCCTAAGCATTTTGCTATGATTCTGTTTTAATTATTCCTTATTCATTGCTGCAATCCATTGTATCTGAGGTCATTTTGAAAACGCAGCACTCTCCCAAAGAGCCCAGGTCAACTTCTATTCAAATAAACAGCCTTTAATGGAGCCTATTTGCCCTCCAACAAGATCGAGCTCTGCTGCACAGTGCTCCTGGAGCCGAGCACCCGTCACAGCTCTCCACTATCATTGCTCCAGTAAGAGGGGCTCAATGTGCTTGTCCATGTGCACTACGGATAACCAAAATATTTTACCTTCCCGAAACAGTCAGATTTAAACTGCAACAGCATCAAATAATAAACAACAAAAACAACACAAAACTATCAAGAATAAAATTTAAAAAAATAACCATTTCCAAAAGGTAGGGAGCCAAAGGAAAAGCAGGAGGATAAAAATGTTTCATGTGATAAGATCAAGTGGCATTTGTTACACCATTAAAGTTACACTGAAGAATGGGTGTTCTTCTAGGTTAATAGTGACTTTAGGCTCAAAAATATTTTTGTTCCAGTACAGTAGTGAACAGCATGACCTGGTTAAAAAGTCTCGCGGCAGATACAAACATCAGTTCCCTAATAAGTCAAAGAAAGGTTTTAAATCTCATGCAGTGTTACCAAAACAGAGGGTTCTGTTTTAGGATCAAAGTCTATATTCTATGATCCTCAAAAAAAAATATAAAAAGAATTTAAGGTTGTCTCCTGGTACCAAAAAACTAACAGAATTACTCACTGCTAAGCTTAACAAATACGCTATTGGTTACAAGACTGGAGGTTTGCAAACACATGGAGCAAACACATGAAAAGATGATAAAAATCACAGAATACTCTTGAAAGTTTATTTCTTGATAATACTTTTTATGTATGGAAGACCCTGATCAACATGGAAAGAGCACAGAGGCTTTTAGAGCAGCTTTYGCTGCACCAGACAGCTGGTAAGACTTTGTACACAGAGTCTTCAAGATACTGTTTATGGAAAGAAAAGCAAACCACATCAACAGGAAAAGCCCACTCCATTTTATCAATGCAATTTATGCTCTGAATTAACACAGCAATTGATATAATGAGAACAATTCCTTTAATGGAAGAAATCTCTTGCTCAGATGCCTTACTCTATAACACAAAAATCCAAGCTCTCTGGCTGATAAAGTCATTTGTACACTTTCAGTATGGCTTGCAGTTCAGTCTGAGATGGTGGAAGATGAGAAGATGATTTAAATAGAAATTATATACTTTGAAATTAAGAACTTGATTTGTTGATATGTAGTATTGACATCATCTTGAAGAGAGGTTATTTGGAAAGCATAAATCTTGGGAGGTATTCTCAATATCTGTCAGCATTCAGAAAAAAACAATAAAATATGATATAAGACATAATAATAAAGTGTGATTTAAAATACAAATCCAATATCTAGCTCATAAAGAGCACAAGAGACAAAACTAAACTATCTTAAAATCTCAAGAATACTCCTGAGAATCTGAGCTGATACCCACTGCTTTCAACAGGGCAACTTAGCGGGTAGCTCCACATGTCCTTGCACCCATGATAGGGCACGGACAGCTCAACCTCCACCTCTATCCATGAAGAGCCACCACAGGGTATACCTAAGGACGGAGGAAACAGATCAATGGAAGCAACTTGCACACCTTTGAGATAGCTCAATCTAGACTCCGAGCTCTACTCAAACACACAAATTAGACACCCTATGAGTACAAATGGCTATAAACAAGCACACAAAACCAGGAAGGTTTTCTCAAGTTCTTATCATGGAATTATGGTCACACAAATTCACATGGCAGGAACAATACTTCAACTTTATAACACACCGTCGGGACAGCCTGGATTACTGATCCAAAGGTGTGCATACACCTGTGTGGATACGCACTGACATACACGTATGTGAAACAGATGAAACTAGAACATTCGATCAATTGCATTGAATTGCGAAAGGTACCAGGTCCCGGCACCAGAACGGGCTGGGAAGGAGTTTCTTTCCCTCCATAACTTTTGCTTCTGGGAGAATACTCATGTTTGGAAGCAGGGACCAAAGCAGCCCCCTGTACTGCTGCAAAACAGACAAAAAGGTCAAAATAAAGGAGCATGAGGCCAAAGACACCAGATCTAAAATGTACACATCTCATTTTAACCTCTAACTTTCTAACGTTGGACCCTATTCCCCAGTCAAGCTGGATTAGAAGTTCCTGTCGCACCTGCAAGAGCTTCCAAATCAAGGTTTTATGAGCCAAATCGTTCTATCCCTCCATACCTTTATGATTCCAAAAAACAGAAAAGTAGAGGTGAAGAAAAACCCCACATGTCTCAGCCCCGGTTCACCTGCCCCAAGGAGGAGCAGAGCCCAGGGCAGAGGAGTCTGCCAGATGTGAGAGAGCAAGCATTTCCTACATCTGTTTTAAATAATTTTAAATTACTTGTTAAATTATTTCAAGTCTTATTATTTAACTAATATTCCCACAGCTAAGCTGAAATACTCCTGTTGGTTTAACACACCCGCCGAGGTTTGCAAGGCCTAGCCATGCAGGAAAGCAAAGGAATAAACAAACAAACACAGGAGAGGGGAAGCACCGCCGGCTGCGGGAAGGACGGGGGCGAGGCGGCGGGGCCGGGTGCCGGTGCCGACCCCCCCGCAGCGCCCCGGCCGCGGCGCCGGCCTCACTCACCGCGAAGGCGCCGCGCAGGCGGGCKGATCGCAGCGCCAGCTCCCGCAGCGCGGCCCCAACCCGCGGAGCCGCCATCTTCCGCGCGCCGCCGGCCCGCCCGCCCCCTCGCTCGCTCTCCCGGCCGCCCTCCCTGCCGCCGTCTCCGCCCTGCCCCGTGCGGAAACGCGGCCCCCGGGCGCCCACGCCGGGCCCGGGGCGGCCTTGACCGCGTGGGAGCTCGGGACGGCTGGGGAGGATACGGCCATTTTAACGCGAGGACGGGCGCGCGGGGGGCTGCATGTGATGGGAGCTGCGACCCACCCCGGATCACTTATATGGACTCCCTGGTTTTTTTTTTATTATTTTTTTTTTATTTTTTTTTTATTTATTTATTTTTTTTTACTTATGACCGGAAGGTGCGGTTTCGTTTCGTTTTGGTTTCTCATTTACGATCTAGTAAACTCAGCCAATAAGCCACGATGAGATCCAGCTGGCCCCGGTCAGGGACTTTAATCCACATGTGAACTCCATCAAGTGTCTCAGCTTGTTTTGCATCCACAAATTAACAAAACCAGAGATACAAAAAACAGAAAAACTAGTTTTTCTGCATGAAAATTGTGCTAGTGGATTCTGGCCTTTCAGGGCAGCACTTAAAAGCAGAGGGCTGATAGCTACTGACTCACAACAAGGCTTTAAAATATACTCTTTGGAAAGTTCCCTGGCTGAACTGTGTTTTCATGGAAGTCAGCCCTGAAAGCCAAACCTATAAAAATCCCTCATGCCATCCRTGTGGGAAAAACTACAGGTTGGCCTGGGCCCTGGGATAGTGTCTGGAGCCTGAAGCCAGCGGGCGAGCCAAATGGCCGGGCTGAGTAAACACCATCCCAGCAGAGCTGGATGAGGCTCTGTGTCTCCTCAAGGTTAATGTTCAGCCCCRAAAATCCATCCGTGAGCAGCTGTGGGCCAGGGCACTCTGTGCAAATTAAATATTTCACACAATTTGGCAATTAAAAAACATGTTTGAAAGTGAAAAACCTGAAATAACCACTAAAAACTGAGCAAGAGTACAAGTACTCTTGCAGTTTTACAAGAGTTTCTGTTAAGTTTACCTATATGTAGGCATGTAACCATGCAAAGGTTTAGCTATCTGCATGCATGTGTGAGCTGTGCAGAGCATTCATTATGTGATGTGTTGTGATTAATTAGTAGGAGGAACAAAACGCTTAAATCGCCCTTTTCTGGTCAGGGTGTGAGCTCAGACCAAGCTTCTGTCAGCACTCAGGACTTCCAAACATGCCTTTTCTAAATATGAGGAAAAAATAGCTCCTGTGTTAGAACCTAATCAACTAATAAATTATATTCCTGTTTAGAACCTAATCAACTAATAAATTATATTCCTGTTTAAAAAAAAAA